GTCTGAAACTCCTGGACTCCAGTGATTCTTCCTCCTCGGCCTCCGAAAGTGCTGGGATTACAGGCATGAGCCACCATCCCCAGCCAGTTGCATATATTTTGAGCAATCTGTCTCTAACTATTTTTTCCATGAAGTCTTGTTAATTTTAGTGCACCGTTTTGAAGAACTGAAGGTTTTTTAAGAATGCATATAGCAGGTTATAGCAGAAACACTTATACTCAGAATGAAGCTGGGGCTCTCTCTTCCAACAAGCATTTTTGATATGTTCCAAGTGTCCCTGCTAGGTAGCCAGGAGACCAGGTAACCCACTTCCCTCTGAGCGTGGAACGATTTCCCAAGGAGCCTGAGGGGCAGTTCTCTGGAGTTTGGGCACTAGAGCCCCTCTTATTTCCTCTTCTTCTCTCCTCCCTCTAGACCCCATACCACTCAGGGGAAGCCAAGTAAAAAGACCCAGAATTTTGCCTCTTAAAAGCTTAGAGGTCTTGAGGAAGTCACGGAACCTCTGCGGGACCCATTTTCCTCATTCTTCAACTGGAAAGGCAGTGTTTTTGTTGTTATTGTTAATCATGGCGATGGTTGTTAATTTTTTCTTTTTTTTTTTGAGACGGAGTCTCGCCCTGTAGTCCAGGCTGGACTGCTGTAGCGCGATCTTGGCTCACTGCAACCTCTGCCTTCCGGGTTCAAGCGATTCTCCTGCCTCAGCCTCCGGAGTAGCTGGGATTACAGGCGCCCCCCACCACGCCCGGCTAATTTTTTTTTTTTTTTTTAAATATTAGAGACGGGGTTTCACCATGCTGGCCAGGTTGGTCACGAACTCCTGGCCTCGTGATCCGCCCGCCTCGGCCTCCCAAAGTGCTGAGACTACAGGCGTGAGCCACCGCGCCCGGCCTGGTTGTTAATTTTTAAAACTGCCTTTCATTCTTGCTTTGCCATTTATAGCTCTGTAGCCTTGCGCAAATGACTTCACTTCTCTATGAGTCATCTGTAAAATGGGGCTCTTTGTGAAGACTTAACGATACCACGTGTACAAAGCACTGAACACAACATGCACATTAAGCTC